GTTGGGTGTGCGCCCACTTTCCACCTCTTTCTGGACGCGGGACTATGGTACGCTTGGCAACATCTTCATTCGATAACTCGTGAAACTTCTAGTTCTTAACTCAACTCATTGCGAAAAATTATTAAATACTAATTATTTGTGTTTATAGATATCTTCCATCATCTATATGATCATTATGTATATAGACATTAGAACACATACGGGCACTAACACACACACGCACGCACACATACACACACACGCACGTATACACGCACACACACATACATACTCATATATAAAGATATGCATATATATGTAGATACTGAATACAATAAAGAACAAATATGCGTACACACAAGTACATAAGGCGCATTTTTGACGAGAAACGCGAACACGCTAATGCTTGTAAAATTACTGACAAAGAAATCTTTTCATGTCGTGGTTTTGCATTACTTGAAGAAGATAAACGAAATTAGAATTTAAAAATATCTGCATATTGTGTCGCACAAAAGTTATGAAAAAAAAAGAAAACAAATCGTCCACACACTTTAAAGCAAGACTAAAAGGTTATCATCTACTACTCATAACAAAGATGGGTCTTCCAAACTGCGAGTTTAGAATGGATATAACATGGGTAAATAAAAGCGCACTTCGAACATTCCAGGATAGGTGTAATGCATTTATAAATGGCTTGTAATTTTCTTCTTGAAAATAATAAAGCTATCGATATACTCCATTTAAAACTTCTGGTAGGCACAGATAAAACAACTTGCTAGTATATGATATCTATTGGCGACAAAATATGTAGATTATCACGAGAAATCCATCGTTGTCATTCATATCTGTCGGCCATGTTGGCGGTTTCTTTATCATTATGACGTCCTGATAGTATAGAGGAAGTTAGAAAGAGTTTGGTTTTTTACGAAACCAGACCAAGATATCTGACCAAGAAGGAAGTTTCAAGACTTTAAGAAATCTTGAATTATCTTGCGGTCAAAAATGCGCCTCTACATACAAAAACCTACTTTGTGTGTATGGGTGTAAGGACAATATAAGCATACATATATGTATATGTACAAACGCGCGCGCAGAAACATACATACACATACATATATATAGACAGAAAGATAGATGATTATAACATACCATATGTATGAATTTGAATTTGCACATGTGTGTATATATTTCAAGTACTTCCTAGGAAACCATCTGTGTCGCGGAAAGGAAAGGCAAGTAAAGTCAGACATGTAAACAAATACAATTTATTTACAAAAAAAAAAAAAAAAAAAAGCTTTATTCATTTTAACATTATCAAAAATAACAATAAATAGTTCCTTAAACATATATTGTCTTTAAGATTAGATTACAGTTCCAGTTAATGAAATATGTTTTCCTATGCTGCCTGTGGAACCTTCGGAGCCGTGACAGTCAACACGCCATCGGAAGACATTGCGGAAGTCACGGCCTCCATGTCCACTTTGCCTGGGAAGTTGAAACGTCGACAGAAGCTTTTCATGGACTTGAAGTCGCCCTCTTCCTTTTCCACTCGACCTTCCACCACCACCTGATTATCTTCCACTCTGACCTTGACGTCTCCACTCTTGAAGTCATGAACATCTAGTACAACCTGTTTATAGAATCGAGTAGTGTTTATTTAGTTTTTGTCTCCCATTTTATATTACTGAATATTCAAATACTCTATTTGCTTGACCTATATCGTTTTTTATTAAAGCTAATTTTCAATTTGAATATATTTTTTTTTAACAAACTTCTATTTATGTAAACAAATGTTTAAATCAGTGTGTTTGCGATCCACGTAAATTTTAGATTGTAGAACTAACCTTATGATTGTGGTCGTCTTCGCTGAAGGCCATGACTTGGTTCTCCTGCTGCAAATTGCGATCTCTTACACGTCTGTAGCTACTCATCAGATCACTCACGGATTTGGCTTCTCCCCAAGTGTCCAGGATTTGGTCGATGGCTGTCTCAAAGTGCTTCCGAATATCCTCGAAGAAGGAATCGTGGAAGAAAAGTCCCTTCTCAGCGATTGGGAGAAGTGAATCCTCTTTGCATTCGGGAGCCTCTGGTTTCTGTTCAGCAAGGGCGTTAGTATTTTTGCTTTCCATATTTCTCTATCGTATATTGCTTCAGGAAGATTAGCTACGTCTCGTGATGTAGATAAAGCAAGAGCTTGCTTTCTTTTCTCAAAGAGCGTTATTTCTGTTGTGTCTAGCGAGAGGTGGCTGCTGAGGCTTTTATGTGGCGCGAGTTGGGTGTGCGCCCACTTCCCACCTCCATCTGGACGCGGGATCATGGCATGCTTGGCAACATGAGTCG